TCGGCCTCACACGAAAACTTACTGCGTACCGAACCGCAATTTCAGAAACTATCGCCGGAGAAGTACGATCAGATGGTGGGCAACTTTGCGCTGGGCAGCGCAAAGGCCGTCGAGCGGCACATGCAACAGCATGCGGACGACATTGAGCTCTATGTGGACCCCTGTGACTATGCCAGCCTGCGCGAGATTGGACTGCCGCCCGAGGAGCTGCACGAGCTGAGCAAAAAGCTCAAGCAGGAGCAGAAGGATGAGGTGCATATACATCTACATCAAATACGCTACAGTATTACTAATGTCCTTTGCTTTCTTCTAGTTGCTCGCGCGTCGCCTGCAGGCCATTGAGAGCAAGGATAGCGCGCTTCAGGAGCAACGCGATCGCATGCTGGCCATCGAGGCGCAGGACAAAGAACTCGCCAAGATGCTGCAGGAGCGCGTAAGTTGAACAAATCGGAAATGTATTTATATTTAGTATTTAGCAATCCTAATCCTATTGTTACACTGTACATAATTTATTATATATACTTCTTGTTCCAAGTACGGAAAAAACATATTCAAATTACGGAAACTCAAAATTTCTGCAGTTAAGGTAAAGGAAATGAGTAGAATTTTGTATGCTTAACTGAAGTAGGTTCATGCTGATGCAGCTAGTTGTTCATTTCAGTCAATAGGCATGAGCAGTATTATTAGGATATCGATGAAAGACTATGAATAGTAGATGTAGATCAAATATAATAGAAAAATCGCTCAAGGGACCATCGCTATAGCCAGAAGACGCTATAACCATATATGTTTGTTCATATAAGTTGCCAGGGAACAAGAATTGTTGTCGCCATAACCGGATTTTACTGTATACATATTATATAATGCTTTAGCGGATATGAGTTCTATGACTTTCTCTATATGTTTATCTATACACTATAAAAAATAGTGTACTATTTTATCTTTTAATGGATCTCTAGAGTTTTATGCAACTATAGGGTATCAAAATGTCACCTACAATTCAGTATTCGATATGATTTTCTATAAATGATCTGTATTAACTAAAACCTTGTCATAGACTGTTCTCACTTGGGCCTTGTGTAAAAGTTTTACTTAGCATTTAAATTGAAGTATAAAAAGTCTGAAAAATACCTGAAAATATATTTTAAATATATTATATATTAATCTGAATGAATATCCATTAAATATTATTTTCGAAATATATAGAATAATACTTAATAACTTTTATTTTACATGCGATTTTAAATGAATATATATTTGCCGTTCCATTAAACAAGTTTTTTCTTCAAATATTTAATTCCAATCAGAAACTTCGATTCTCAATAATTTTTTAGTAACCTCAATCATCTTTTAAGCTTTACATAATGAAATATTTTAACATAAAATTAGTTGCAGATATAATCATTAAAAATGTGAATATGTATTGTAATTTCAAAATCTGTGTATCTAAACAAAACTAATTCATCTTGTTCGCCTTCTGCAGGAGAAAGCCAAAGTGAAACGCGCCAAGGAAAAGGCGCGCCTGCGCAAATCCCAGCAAAAGGAGGCAGCAGCCGGCGCTGGTGCTGGAGCCAATGGCGTAAACAGTTTGCTCTGCGGCACAAATGGCTCGCATTGCGGTCCGTTACTGGCACTGCCGCAGGACTGCATGTCCGCGTCGCAAATCCAAACGCCAAACGATATCGATGTGGAAGCCTATTCAAATCCGATAGATGTGCTCAACAGCAGCCGATCTGAGCAGCGCCAGCCGAATGGCACACTGACCAATGGCAGCCTGACCAGGGACAGCAGCTCCTCGCACGGCTCCATGCAGCGGCAGCAGCGCCAGGCGGCCGCAGCCGCCAGCAGCCTGACACGCGGCGATGATGACATCTATACGCTGCCCGTGGACAGCTGCCGGCCGGGGCATCAGCGACCCATCTCTTTGCATTTGACTGCCGATGCGCTGCAGCAGCAGCAGCAGCAACATAATTCCATGACGCGGTAAATTATCTAATTAACGATCTCTACGGCCATTTAGTAAAGGTATTTATCCTTTCTCTACTTTCAGTTCGGAGCACTATGGCTCGGAGGCGGGGTCTCATGACAGCACGCTGTCCAGCGGGCACGATGTCTCGCCGCATCTCAAGTACTCCAAATCCGGCAACTTTGGTATATATGTATTTAACTGCCTGCTCAGTAATCAGCTGCTTTATAATAATCCATCTCACTATCTGTAGATCAAAGTGCCAGCCCTACGCCGCCTTACATGCCAATTCAAGGTACGCGACGATCAAATTCAAGTGAAGATCGTAAAAAGAAGTCCAAGGACAACAAGTGCACGCATCAGTGAAGCCGCCCCGCGATCATAGCATATAGCTGATCTTTACTATATATACATATACTTACATCGTACATTTTGTATGCTCGCTCTCTCTTTCACACACACTTATTGCAAACGACAATGAAATTGTTTAGCTCACATCAAGCTTCATCATATACAATATTCACAACTTGAACTAGTTTAGTTTGTAGTTTTTAGATAAGCTTTATTTTAATCCATTGTTGTGTGTATCGCATCTGTTAACAGACAACTCAACTTTGGGTTTACAATAAATGTTTGTTAATAAGCATAAAAATGTTAATTGTGTTTTGGTTTTGTTAAAATCTGTTGATTTTTGGCTTGGAGGATTACAAATAAAGGATTTTGGTATAATTTATCTATTTGAATTATGAATTGAATAATTCAATTAACAGCTTTGTATTACACTCTAATTAGGTCCTAGGTATTATTAAATATTGTGATGAATTATGAACGCCAGTCTTTCCAATGAAGAGTCCAAAATTTAACCAGTTGATCCCATAACACTGCTTTAAATGTTTCCTATGTCCGTTTCATAATTTGATGACATGTTGTGCCTATAATAAGAAATTTTGTATTAATTAAGAGGGTCAATTAAATATACTACACATAGTAAGTATATACAGTTCCGCGCATTTGAATAGGTTGATCTCATCAATGAACGCTCTAATTCGAACGAAATAATTTCCGTAATATTAAAAAATTAATCAGCTATGACGTAGAATAGTTTCAACCTAATATATCGTCAAACTTATTCAAGTGCGTGAAACTTAAGGACTATATCATCATGTGTATTCTGATATAATATATAAGTTTTCATTGAAATTTCAAAAATTGCTAAAGATTAGCTCTTTTAATAAAAAAAGAAATGCAAATATGCAACAGATCATGTCAGTATAGACGACTTCTTTTGAGAGTCTTTTCATTAGATGATCGGTAAATTTGATATAATTCAAAATATAAATTTTTTTTTTTTTTGAATTCATTCTATTTTTAGATAATAATCACAAATTTCCACTAATATTTAATATATTAAAGTCTACCCATACTTACATTTATAAACAAATGCAGATACCTTCATATCCAGTTCGACACATCATAGACAGCATACTTCACACATTCACACCTGGATAGCATGAAAAAGTCGTTTAAAATAAAATAGCTTATGGAATGGAATGTCTTGTTTCAAATATACATATATACAAACGTTGTTAGCCCATATAGACATATCCAGTTAGACATATTTATATGTAGATTGAGCTCGATGTGTACTTTTTACTAACATCAGCAAGTTTGCGTCCAATACCGGAGATCAAAACTTGTGAAACTGGTATTAAAAGTCACAAGTTAGGGTCTCAGGGAATCAGCCATACAAACATTTGCACATGTCACTAATACCAATGTGTAATATGCAAGTGAATTTCTTATGATTACAGATCGATAATATGTATAATAATAATGTGAAAACACTTTCGCACAAATACACAAACACACAAATATATAATAAATAGGTAATCAGTGAGTGAGAGAGAACACATTGTATGGCTGGGCGAGTGTGTGTGGGATGTCTTTGCGGCTTATAGTCAAGCAAAGAAAGCTAGCACGCTGTATAGTATGGTCTATAAGTACTACTATACAACCTACTACCTCAATTTGCCAGAGAGAAAAAGGTCCTTGGTGTAGTCCTTTTTGCTTGCTTGGTTTATGTCAGTTGGTTTTTAGGTTTACATTTTCAGAACATAATCGTTAATCGAATTGAACAAAAAAGAAAAACCAACAGCAACGAAAGAAAAAACTTAAAGAGAATTGCAAAAATTATAGGAATTGCCGAAATACAATATTAAATTAGTTAAGTTATTGATTTAACTGCAACTGATTAAACAAAATAATGGATATTTATAATACTAATAAATGATATTTAAAATTTGCTTAGATATATAATTTCAAATCAGTTAAACTCTTTAATATAAATTTGTTATAAATTTATTGATTTTAATTATTTATTGTTTTTATTACTTGAAGATTTAAGTGCGTTTTGGTATGGTTTCATATATAAATTGTATATATTAATACGTTTTTATTTATCATCTAATTTTTTATTAAATATTTATTTATATATATATTATAAAATTGTGTTTATTTTATTTATTTAATTATTTTTTATTTTTATTTTATTTTTTTCTGGAAATATGATTAGTATATATAATTACTTTTAAAGTATACAAATTTGTATATTAATATAATTTTATATTATATAATAATTCAAATTTTTATAATTTGTTGATTTAAAGCGCTCAAATGTATTTTGCATTTATTGTTTTACTTTTTTTAAAATTTATTTTAATTTTTTACTTATTTTCTAATCTTTTAATTTTCTTTTATTTATTTATTTTATTAAATACTTTTTTTCTGCATATATTAATATGAACCCAACTGATGATTAGGTAAATATTATTATATGTAGAGTTTACTTTTTATTAATTGTTATATGTCATTAATGTAAATATTATGAATATGTCTTTAATTGTGCTTTGTATATTTTAATTTGTATTTTTTTCTTTGTTGACTTTTCTATCACATTTATGTAGGTTTATACTCAACTTTTGGAAATTAAATATATTATTTAATCATATCCATTTGTTTATGAACTTTTGTTGAATTGTTGTATTGATTTATAGTATCATTTATAGTTTCTATTTGTTCAATGTTGCTTTGCTTTGTTGCCAAAAACCAAGTTGTTTGCATTGACAGACTCCCATAATGCCGGTCTTGTAACAGATATAAAACAGCACAAGTTCGGATTTACGGGTTTCTGTTAATGGTCCATATGTAAGTATGCACCATTTCTCATGGGATTTACTAAGTTCTTTGATTGATGCACGAGCAGCATTGCGAATTGTTGTGAAATTCCAGTAGGTAGTAGTTTTTCCAGCTCTTCTTCTTCTTCGACATCTTCACATTGTCAAAGCTGAAAGAAAAGGAACTTGTTTAATCTTTGTGCTGAGCTGAGATAAAGCTTACTCCGTTTCTTTTCATTGTGTGTGTGTGTTTCGGCCAAGCTGTTGTCGTGGTATGCAAGCTGTAAATAGTGGAAAGAAAAGAGTATTAGATATATAATGTATATATTTTGTTGTTATTTCATATATACATATGCCAAGTATTTTTGTTTTTTTTTTGTTTCTGCGGTTAAGCTCAATTCTCTTCAGATTTATGTCTGCTGGCCACGTAAGCCGCTTGCTTGTTGCAAGCTGCAATTCAATTTGCAACAAAGAAACGTTAGCTCACATGCATTGCCCACAAAAATAGCCACGAAACAACAACAACAAAAACAAAACAATTTGCACACTAAAAGTTGCCTTGTAGCCGTATCTAGCTAAGTTTTTTAGCTCTATTTTAGCTATATATGCTATGTACATTGTACATATGCATGCATGTATGTAGGTGTATATGATTATATGTGTGTTAGCTTTAGTTTGGCTGCTTTGGGCAACTTGGCGTTGCGCTTCCTGAACGGCAAATGCCTCGGAACAACAAAAAACTTAAACTGAAATGCCATTGAGCGTAGCAGAGGCAACGGCAACGGCCACGACAGCGGCGGCGGCAACGTCTGCTGTGCAGCGACTGCGCTGCTGCAGCTGAGCGCTGTACTCCATTTCTATATGTGTGTGTGTCCCTGCATCTATCGAGTGTTTTGGCTATATGTTGCTTGTTGTACCCGTTGTTGTTCCTGTTGTTGTCGTTGTTATTGCATACATATGTACAGCAGCGAGACGCTGCCAAAATGCTGCTGCGTCTTCACCCATTGGCCTGCCACATGATTCTTTGGTGGTAGCAGCACAGCGCACACACACATGCACAAACACACACAACTGTCGCGCTGTGTCTGCGCACAGTTCGTTGGCTGTACCTATTTCAGCCAGGACCTGCCTCAACAAATTCACACACAATCAACAGCGACGTCACACATACATGCGCGCTTCCTTCCTACTTATGTTGCGAAGCTGACGTTGACGTTGACGTCGCGCAAAAAAACCGGTAACAGCTCTGCCAGCAGCATGAGCTTTGCATTGCCATTGCCCCTGCAGTCACTAACGCTCTCTTACTTGCTTGCTCTCTCTCACGTTCTCTTTGGCTCGTACTCTCTTATATAATTAGGCTCTGTTGCGCTCTAAGCATACATTTGTTTACGTTTTGTTTTGTTTTTGTTTCGCACTCTAAAAGAAAACCTTTCGCATTTAATATATGCTGCAATTATTACGGGATTTGGAAACACGAAAACAGAAAAGAGTACAAAATATGAAATTATCCATACGCCGGGTAAGCCCCATTAGACTTTTAGTTACCATTTGACTTCCTTTTCGATAAGGCTATTTGCATTTTCCCCACAGCTCTGCAAATAATATCGAAATTCGTTTATTATTTGCACAATAATCAACAATTTCCATTCGAATGCGCGCAATCATGTGGAAATGTTTGCATGGAAAATGAACTCGCCGGCTATTAATTTTCATTTTGAATGCTCACCGCGTGCGGGTGTGCGGTCTGCGGGTGACTGTTGATGTTTGCCTTCAGGCCTTTTAGATGTGCAACTCGCTTGTTTAATTGCCTTATTTACTGATTCATTTTGCGGGCATTGAATTTCTTTAACAGTTTATAATATGTGAGCAGGAAATGTTAATTAGATCATTTTATGCACTAAATATACAAAGCCTTCACTATTTTTTAATTCTATTGTTACTGTTACTGTGAATCTTGATCTTTTATAATTCTTATGTATTTATTAACTAAAAAAAAAACTTTAATATTGGTCATTAAAAATTTTTATTAAATATTTTTAACTTTCAATTCATTAAAACTTTGTCACTATTATAATTTCATTTTCAACTTGTATTTTGTATTTTATTTGTACAATAATATTCTTTTTAATTTGCTTTAAAATTTCACTTTTTGTCATTTATTCAAAAATTTACTTTGCTATTTTTGCTTTATTTTAATGTTATTCAATCCCTAGGGCGAATTCTCGGGTTTTCACACGAATTTAAAAAACCAAGGCCAAAGGCACCTCTGCACAAAAAACCGCAATGCCACACTCATACACCGACACACACTCACACGCACACACTGAAATTATGGCACCTCTACGAAGCTCAGTTGCACATAATTATGCAATACGCCATTTGTAAGCGCGCTCTCTTAAGCGCATTTTCGCCCTGACGCTCGCTCTCTTTTCGCCCGTTACTCTCGCAATATGTTGGGGGACTACTTGCTTGCTGCTCTTTCAATGCCATTGTCATGGGAGTTGCACACACACCAATACATGTGCGCGCGCTCACACACACTTATACACAAAAACAGTGAGATAAGCGGCACATGCAAGCAATTCAATTAGATGCCGTTTGTTGTTGTTGGTGCATGTTACCAACTCCTTTGCCACAGACAACAACATGGTGCGCGACGGAGAGTCGCACGTTGGCTGTGACGGTGGCGAAGGCGACTCTTCTGCCCATTTGAAAAATCCCATTGCCGAGTTGGGAAGTTGTTGGTAAAGCCAAACGCAGAGTTGATTAACCTTTGCGCGTTCTGTTTTGCAACTTCATTCGTGGAGCAGCAGAAGCTTCAGAGCTGCTGCTGCTGGTGCCACTGCTCCGATTTAAATGCTGCCTGCTGCTGAAGTTGTATGTGTTTCGTCTCTGTCTGTTGCGCTGCCTGCCATGTTCGCAGCCATGTTAGCAGCCATTTTTAATAGCCATATGTACACCATGTATGTACGTCCATATGTGTCTGTGTGATTGTGTGTCTGGCTGTGTCTGGGCTACGGCGACGTTCTTTTTTCGACTTCTTCTGTTTGTCTTCTTCTCCTGCTGCTCCTGCTCTCTCACCGTGTGCTGCTATTTGCGTTTTGTAGTTTATGCTTCATTCACACTATGCTGCATTGCCACGCCTCCACCGTCTCTGCCCACACTCTCTTCTTCGCTTTGCATATTTCGCCGTCCGATTCTTTTTATTTTTATTTTTTGTGCTCTTGTGGCCTTCGCCGTGTTGGTAATTGTAATTGAAATTTGGCGTTGAAGCGAGTAAATGACTTGCTCTTCTCTCACTCTCTCACTCTGCCTCTCTCCCACTCTCCGCCTTTTGCATGTATATTTCTTTACAGTTGCTGCTTTTCGGCAAAGCTGTTTTGGCGTTTATTTTGTCGTTTCGCTTCCTGTTTGTTGGTGTGGGTCATGGTTGTGCTGCCGCGTCATGGCTACCCAAACACACATACACATACACACGCTCAGGCTCGCTCACTCTCTCGCTTACGTATGTGTGACTGACTGCTCCTTTTTCGCATGTGCTCTCCCCTTACACCGCCGTGACGTCTTGCCCATTGGACTGCTTTGAGTCTGGACAGCGGATTCGGATTCGGATTCGCCCCTTGTTATGACTGCTCTTTTGTTGTTCGCAAATTGAACAATATTGTCGCTGCGGCCTTTCATGCAATTAAATCATAACGTGAATGACGAACTTTGATGCGTGACGAGCTCCGACATTTGAGAAGTGATGCAACGAGCTTATTTAATAATTACTATATCAATTATACCATCATAAATTTTGATTAGATTTGACGAATCGATACGATAGTTGGAATGCATACAAAACTATTAAGCATTTAATGGAAAGAAAATAAATATAGTTCACTGATTTACTTTTTGATTAACTTGATACGCTTAAAAACAAATTTTTATGATATTCTAATTTATAACAAAATTTAATTAAATCAATCCTTTCTAATCTTCGCATTAATTTAATTTTTTTCCCCCGAAAACATGTGCTGTTTCAATACCAGTTATTTCTTCGTTCATTTACATCTTGGTTCATTTCCCAACCGCATTAAACCGGTTCAATTATAACAGTCTTTGTAATGAGCTTTTACACACCTGTTATATTAAGATTGAATCGGTTTTATAACATATAAACAACTGCGATAATCATGCTAAAAATCAACTGTTTAGGTATGTGTGTGTATATGTGCATTTGTATGTGTGAGTGGCTCTCTTTTTGTTGTCTTTTGTTTCAGCCTGTTTCTGTTGCATGGGTCTTGTCTTGGTCTTGCGCTGGGTCTCAGCACTTCTGCATCTTCTGGCTGGTTGCGATATCTATCTGCGTATTCGTTTTTCTTATTCTTATTGGCTGCTGTTTATTTGCGCTGTGCGTTCGTTTATTGAGTTTGCTTTATGTCTGCGGGGCGTTCAATGAACTTCTGCGACGGCTGCTGCTGCTGCTCTTCGTCCACTTAGACAATGCGACTCGGGCGGTGAATCTCGGACGGAGAGTTGTCGCCCATCCATTGTCAAAGTTTTTGTTTGCTATCGAGCGATTATCGAAGTAAGCAACAGCAACAACAAGGAACAAGAAAAATAAGTGCTTCAAAAAGCGCAAGATATTGAAAGATATTAAAATAACTTCCAAGGCATACAATGGAGCTGCAGAATATGCAGTGGGAGGTGGGGATCAGCAGATAAGTAGCATTCGTTTTTTTATACTCTATTTTCTTCTTCTTCTTCTACAACTTCGCTTCTGCTGCCTTAATATAATTTGATGTTATGGCAAGGCACACAAACAAATACACGTGTCGTTCGTAAGCTCAGTGTGTATGTGTGTGTGAGCTTGATGACGAAGTCACAGCAGGCAGACAGAGCAGACGTAGAGGGCCGCGGCATGTGGGCAATGCGAAATAACGTAGAATGACGTAGCAAAGCAGAGCAAAAGACAGCAACAGCACAGGCAGCAGCGACGTCAGCAGCAACAGCAGCAGCGGCAGCGACAGCGGCATTAGCGAAGCCACATGCAATGCAATTTCAAAGGTCAATGACACGCAACGTGCGGCGCAGCACAGCAGAGAATCAGAGAGCGCACACAATATCAGACACGAAGAGCGCCCAAAAGCTTTTGCCTGACGCGCGCTCTCTTTATCCAGCTCCAAAAAAAGCTCTCTTTGTCGTTTTGTGCAGAAATATGCATAAATTGAATTTTGCTCTCATTTCTTTTCGCTACTGCTGCTGCTGCGGCTGCTGTTTTCATTCACACACAGGAAAT